GCTTCAAAGATGAGCCCCATCGCTTGACGAGGGCGACCCAAAAGTCGGAGAGAAAGCGAGTGTCCCGGTCGCAAACGATCTCCTTAGGGTAGCCCTTGGAGCGAATCCAACCGGTGTATAAGACATCGGCTAACTCCGGTGCCTTTGCATGATAGCGGCAAGGCAAAAACATGGCGTACTTGGTGAGGCGGTCGACGACCGTGAGGATCCCATCAACGCCGGTCTTGTGCTTCGGGAAGGGGCCGGTGATATCCATAGCAACTGCTTCCCATCGCCCAAGGGGCATTAGTAATGGGTGTAGCTCGCCGAACGGACGATGGTTGCGTGCCTTGCAACGCCGACAGACTTCGCACGACTCACAATAGCGGGTGGCGTCCTTGAGAAGGTCGGGCCAATAGAACCGYTGGCGAAGTCGGCCAAGTGTACGGTTGACATCAAAATGTCCGAAGGCGGGCACATCGTGAAACTCGCCAAGAAGCCGTGTGCGCAAGTGTGAATCATTCGGCACACAAAGAAGATCCTTACCCCGTGAATGCACAAGTAAGTAGCCCTCTTGGATCCGATAATGCGAAGGCACTGGATTCGGAGAGGAGCAATTCGCGTACTTGTCGCGAAAGTGGGGGTCGGCTTGATAGCCGCGGATGAAGCTCTCCCGCACGTCGTCATCGATCTCGAAGGTAGAGTAGACTGTGGTGCAAAGATCCGGTCACCGTGAGAGGGCGTCCGCAAAACGGTTTGACTTCCCGGGAATGTGATCGGGGAAAAAGTCAATCTGGTCGATGAAAGCCATCCAACGGGCAATGGTACTGTTAATCGTGTCTTGCGACTCGTAGAATACCAACGGATTGTTATCCGTTACCCATCGGAATGCTTTCTGACCAAGGAGGAAATGTCGCCAACGCTTGAGGGCGTGGACGAAGGCAAGAAGCTCCTTCTTCCGTGCGTCGTCGATCGAATGCATGGGAGGTACTTTCTTGCTAGAGTACTCGACCGGGTGCCCGTCCGTGCCATCGTGATGCTCAAGGACGGCCCCAATGCCATAGCCCGACGCATCGGTAGTGACGCGCGTAGCTAGAAGCGGGTCGTAAATATGTAACACCTCGGCGGACAAGAGTGTCGCTTTGAGTGTCTCAAAAGAATGGCGCGCGTTGTCGTCGAAGTCAAAAGGCCGCTCCTAGCTTTGTAACTTGCTTAGGTTGGCCGCGATCTTCAAGTAACCCTTGATGAAGCGCTGATAATAACCAGCCAAGCCGAGGAAGGATCGGACGTCCGTCACATTCTTTGGCTCGGACCACTCCTGGATGGCTTGAATCTTGTCCGCCAACGGACGAATGCCTTCCGGAGAGACAAAATGACCCAAGTATTCAAGCTCTTGTCGGACAAACTCGCATTTGTCGCGGTTAGCTTTGTACCGGGCCGACCGAAGAGTTTCTAGAACACGGCGAAGGTGCTTGAGATGCTCCTCTACAGTTCGGCTATAGACGAGGATGTCGTCTAAGTAGACCAAAACGAAGCGGTCCAACATAGCGCGAAACTCGATGGTCATGGTGGCCTGGGCATTGGTGAGGCCAAAAGGCATAACTACCCACTCAAAATGCCCATATCGCGTCTTAAACGCGGTTTTGTTTTGATCTTGCGGGCGGATGGAAATCTGATGGTAGCCCGACTTGAGGTCCAACTTCGAAAAGTACTTCGCGCCGCCCAACCGCTCAAGCAAATCGTCAATGCGAGGTAGAGGCCACGCGTTCTTGATGGTTTGCGCGTTAAGGCGTCGGTAGTCAATGCAAAGTCGAAGGTCCTTGTTCTTCTTCCGAACGAAGAGAACGGGCGCACCGTAAGGTGAGCTGCTAGGGCGGATCCAACCCTTGTCGAGTAGATCGTCGAGTTGCGCACGAAGAACCGTGAGCTCCTCCTCGRACATGCGATAAATGCATCCTTTCGGTGGCACGGCGCCGGCCTCAAGTATGATCTCGTGAGAGATTGACCGGTCCGGCACTATACCGGAGAGTGTCTCAAAAACATCCGAGAACTCGTCCAACAACCGGGTCACACGGGGGTCGGAAGACACTTTTGTGGACGATGAATCGATCGTCGGGACGGTTCGAAGCAAAGCGATGCCAATCTCTTCGACATGCTCGGAACGGCATGCGTCTCCAAAAGATTTGGCACTCACGACTTGGCACCTAATGGAAGAGCGAGGAGGAGGAATAGTACACGGGACCTCGGCGCCAGTTGCATCACGAATCGTGAGCGTGCGTCGATGGAAATTGACCGTGTGGTCCGCGCTATAAAGCCAAGGCATCCCCAAAATGACATCGAAGTCGGTGTCCAACACGTCAAAAGTGACGGGTTCACATGCGTGCGGTGCAAAGAACACCGGGACAGCCGAGATGTAACGGTCTAAAAGTTGTTTCGTCTTATCGTCGGCAAGAGCGACCGTCGTCGGATGTGACTTCCTCCGTACTTGTGCGCCAAGGCCAGCCCGAATCATGAAGGACTGGCTGATGAAGTTGCGAGTTGCACCGCAATCTAGCAAAGCGTTGCAGGCCGCTTGCCCAATCTGAATGCGAACGTAGAGCAACAGTGCGTTGTTTTCTTCGTACCGTTGCGAGACAAACTCGCGGGCCACCTTGGCAACGTAGCCAAGCATGTCCCCCACCGCGACTTCGTCTACCGTCGACGAAGTTGGTGGTGCATGGAAGGAAAGATACTGGTGTAAGAGGGCGCATAGGGCTGCGCTTTGCGGCCCCGGAAGGTTGCCCGTCGTAGGGAGAGGAATCCAAGCGAAGTCCTCGGGCGTGAGCGGGTCCAAAGCCTCCTCGTTAAACATGCTTGCCGAATCCCTTGATGAAGACGAACTGGCGGAAGAACCTTCGGACGGTGAGATAGTCGCACATGTATCTTGTCCTTGAGAAGCATCCAGTGAAGGAACGAGTCGGGCAGCGAAGTTTTTGAACGAAAGTGGAAGACTCCCGACATCCGCATATGCCTCGGAAGAAAGGGCGGTCGTGCGCACAACCGCTTCCGATGGCGTCGAGGGAGGTGTCGAGTCACCCTTGGCGGCGCCTACTTTCCCTGACGGGGTTTCCCCTTGGTGGGGCAATGTGCAGCATCGTGGATGGTGTTGTTGCACCAAAGGCAGTAACGGTACTCGAGTCTCGTGCGATAAGAATTCGCCGACAGTCCGTATTGTGCCCAAGGTTCGTCGGCGGCTGATCGGGTGCTCGGTGTAGAGGTGGACTGAGTCTTCGTCTTGTCGCGGCCATGGTTGTTGCGCGGCCGGCCACCATCCCGGGAAGCTGCCAACACTTCACCCTCATTTGGTGTTGCAGCCTCGGTAGAAGTAATGCAAGCCACCTTTGGCTTGGGCTGAGTGCCGCTCGTCGTCGCGGAAGATCGGCCGGCGTTGCGGGCTTCGATATTCGTGAGAATGATCCGTGACGCGGTGCTGAAAAGCTTGTCGGATGTGTCGAGTGTCTCTGCAATCTGCGTCAGCGCGTTTTGCAGAGCTGGACACGAGCGCATGATAAACAAGTGCTTAATGGAGCGGAAAGCAAGCGGCAGGTCAGGTGTGGAGGCGAGTCTTTGGAACTCGGTAATCCAGTCCTGACTGAGCAGCGTGTTCTGATGGAGCTTGTTGAGCTTGTCCAACGCTTGCAGGTCGGGCGGCTCCACTTGGAATCGCTTGTGCCAGGCGTCGGTCAACTCCTGCCAAGTGAGCTTGCTGTGCAGTTCCGACACTGCTACGCCGTGGCTGGTCAAGATGTTGTCCAGCCATGCTTGACACGCACCACCAGATCGGTGGTACAAGCACGGATGTCGATCGTTGTTCGGGATATTGTGCATGTCGAGCCTGAGAGTAACGCCACCACGGGATCGGTTCCGTCTTGGACTAATCGCAGAAGACGGGAATGTCATCCAGCTTGGGTGGGCGCCGGGAGGATGCGGCGGCGTGCGTCACGGTGGCAGCAGCCTGGACCTGCGTCTCCAACTGCAAGTTCGTTGCTTGCTGCGACGTCCGAAAGTCCTGATGCACACGCTTGATGTTGCTGACGTCATCCTCCAAAACTTGCACACGGGTGGTAAGGGTGGAAGGCCATGCGGCTGCTACAGCAGCTGGCTGTTTCTCCAACGCCTGCAGCCCGTGCGAGCATCTGGTCCACTGTCTGCTGCAAGTGAAGGATTTCCTCCTGCTGCAGAGCGCAGGTGGCCACGAGGTTGTGGGAGACCTGCGCAAGGGCTGACAGCCTTTTCTCAGTCTCTGGGGCCCCGTCTGCAGATGTCACTTCCACCCAATGTGCGGCCTCATCGCCGATCACGGTCTCCCGCGTGAACAGTCGTTCCCGCTGGCGTGACCGGTGTTCGGCTGCCGCCTGCAGGTCTGCCTCTTCTTGACGAAGTCGGTCCTGTTCCTCCTTCTATCGCTTGGCCTCCTCCTCTTGTTCGAGCCGATTACGGTCGTTGGCCACGGCGGCGGACTTATTGTTGGCCTCCTGAATGAATGCCGCCAGGCGTTCCTCATAGGCCAGGAGGGATTCTCCCGCCTTCCGGTCCATGGCCTTGGTTTGTGATCGAGTGAGCAGTGTCATGCACTGCTGTGCCCGAAGTCTGAAGAATCACTCGAGGGCCAATCTGATGGACTGGCCCAGTACCCGGACTGGAGGGTCGGACAGATCCCAATTTGAACAGTTTCCTAATCAAAAAGAAGAAAAACAAAACTTTAAAATTTGGAAAAAGTTTGTCCAATCCCACTGAGTACCGAAGCTGATGCAGAAAGCAAATGTGAACCTTCGGTGCTCGGACTGCAGAGAATCAGAAAAGAAGAGTCTTTATAACTCAGAGTAGGAGTAGGTTGCAAAAGAAAAAAAATGCCCTTTTCTTTTTTCTTTTTTTTTTGAAAAAAAAAGAAAAAACAGAACGGAATTTGCAGACCTACGCAGTGAAAGTGTAGAGGGACAGTTTCGGAAAAAGATTCGCGAAATTATCAAAATGCAGACATTTAACAATTAAACAAGGTAAAAAAAAAAATTCTCGAAAAAAAAATTCTCAGAACGAAAAAAAAATTCTCGGAAACCAAATTTCTCGGAAAAATAATTTTTCGGAAAAGAATAAGAATTTCTCGAAAACAAAATTCTCGAAAAAATAAATAATTTCTCGGAAAAAAAAATTCTCGAAAAAAAAAATAATTTCTCGGAAAAAGTAAATAAATAATTAATTCCGGGAAATTTCCAAGATTAAGTAAACAATTGCCAAATAATCAATCAACTTAATTAATCAATCAATCAATCAATCAATCGATCAGTCAATCTCAGATGATTGCTGGTTGATTGATCGATTGTTCGATCAATCTCCTGATTGACTGATCAATCAATCGAAGATTGATTGGTCCAATCAATCAATCGATTGATTGGTTGTTGCCAAGATTCATCGCACTAGCTCCGATACCACTTGTAACATATCAGAAAGTGAAATGCACTGAAAGCCTAGGATCTAGCAATGACGAAAGTGGCAACGACCAGCAGCATAGGTGCAACATTCACAAGGTGTCAATGTGCGCGACGCAAAGAGTGAAACAACGGGAAATCAATAACAACACATTCGTATCATCATCATCATAGGCTGGGAAGCAGCGCAGCGGAAGATCTAGTATCAAAGGACACGTGGACAACAACATGAAAGGGAGAAACTTCGGAAGGAGAAACTTCGGAAGGGCAAGACACCAGGAAGATTGCCCTTCCGCTCACACACATGGGGAGAGATCCATAGACATGCGAGAGAGAAGGGGGAGGGACATAGAGGTAGCCAAGTCCAACCCAAGTCTGATCTCCGAATGTCGCACATAGTTCAATCCCAATGTAGAGTGTAAGTCCGATCTGAATGTCGTGTCCAATAAGGCAGAAGGCCGTGTCCAAACAATGTCTGCAGTTACCTCTATCTCTACTCTCAAGAAGAAGAAGAAGAAGAAGAAGAAGAAGAAATAAGAAGAAGAAGAACTTCGGAGGAGTAGGAGGAGAAGAGGAGAGGAGAAGAAGAGGAAGAAGAAGAAGAAGAAGACGAAGAAGAAAGCTGGGTGCTTTCTGCACTTACCTGGCGATGGCTGAACTTGCATGTACCGCGGAGCCAGCTATGGCGCTGGGCAGGGAAGTCCTCTTCTCTCTCTCTCTCTCTCTCTCTCTCTCTCTCTCTCTCTCTCTAACTCCACTAC